CCAAAAAAAAAAAAAAAAAAAAAAGGAATTGAGTCCTATTAGTGCTCATAAAACGGGTGGGGGTGTCTAAAAGGAATGCAATGAGTATGATTCCTTTTTCAATGGTTTAAGAGCTCAAGGAGTTCTGTGAATGAGCCCCCTGCCTCAAAACGGAAGCAACATGGTCTTCTAAATCTAGAAAAAAAATACCAGAAGCTTCTCTTACTTTAACCCTAAACATTCAAGGGCTTTCAAGTCCATTTTATGAGTTCTTCATTTAGTCAACTTTCCTTCCTTTCCTTCCTTCCTTTTCTCGAAGTATTGGAAGAAACTGTTGCTATCTAGCCTTCTGTTCTTTAAACGTTTACTTTTCTCTTATTTCCTGTTTTAAAATTAGATGGCGTCTCTTCGGAACCTTTTCCTTACCAGGCCTTTCTTACTGAAAGTCAAACATATCAAAAGGCTTCCTAGATTGTCAGTTTTCATTTACCCATATACAACACTGTGTTATTAGCTTCATTTACTTGAGGTGGGGGGGCTGCCTTATTGCATTTCCAAGGAAGATTGGATATGTCAGCCCCTCAGTTTCTGAAAATGGGTCACAATGGACTAAGAATAGTAGTGAGAACCTCAGGACCCTGCTCTCTGGTCACTTAGCATCTTGTTTCCTGTGGAGGCCAGAGGCAGCACAGAAACACACACACGCCCTTTCTTTGCATAGTTTCCATAAATTAAAATTAAGATTAAAAATGTAATAGAACCAGACTGACTTATTTGATGTACATCACTGTGTGCATCCGTGTTTTCAGAATCATGGCCCTTGATGAAATTATTTTTAAGAGAAAGACCTATCCAAACAAGAACATTAAAACCATTGTTATTTATAATTTGTTCTCATGATCAATATTCTTCTAGAAGTCCTGTGAAGCCCTGGATGGGCAGCTCAGTTGGTTAAGAGTGCCGTTCTGATGTGCGAAGGTTTTGGGTTCGATCCACGGTCAGGGTACATACAAGAACCAACCAATGAACGCACAAATACGTGGAACAAACAAATCCACCTTTCTCACACTCCCATCTCCCCTCTCTCTAAAATCAATTTTTAAAAACTGGTGAAATTAAAAATAAATGAAGGCATAAGTGATCCAACAAAGAAAACCTTATAGAAAGTTTTTAATTTTTAAAAATTTTTTTTATTGATTTTTAGAGAGAAAAGGAGAAGAGATAGAAACACAATGGGCTGCCTCCTGCACGCCCCCTCCTGGGGGTAGAGCCAGCAACCCAGGCATGTGCCCTGACCCAGGAACCGAACCAGTGGCCTCTGGGTGCACTCAACCACTGAGCCACAGGGCCAGGCTAATCTTTGCTTTTTCACTCAGCTTATGTACTTGTAGATTTTGTTATTGTCACAGAAAATTAAGTTTCCTTTTCATTTGGTCTTAAAAATATTTACATGGTACGAAGTCATTTCCAGCTTACTGATATCAAGAAATTAATTTTCTTGCCCTGGCTGGTGTGGTTCAGCTGGTTGGGCGCCGTCCCTTGCACTGTAACCTGCGCCTGTTCCATTCCAGTCTCACATGCGGGAATCCAGCTACATCCCCGGCAGGGGGCGGGCAGGAGGCAGCAGATCTGTTACTCTCTACCTCTCCCTTCTTCTCTCTAAAAATCAATAAAAATATTTTTTAAAAAGACATTAACTTTCTTGCCATGCTTCATTGTAAATGTTAAATATTTGTTATTAGCCACAGAATTTTAAATTTGAAATAAATTTCCTATGTGGCCACTATTTTTTCTAGTTATTTTAATTTTGTTCCTGTCTATAAACCTTAGTTATTATATTGAATATATAATTATTACTGAGAACACTACTTCCTATTTCTAGATATTTATAATCGTAAGAGGAAGGGATCTTAAATATCACCTAGTTCAAATTAAGCAGGAAAGCTCCCAAAGGCTTTGTATCTTGTTGGAAATAGTAAAGAATGATTATTTAAAATATTTTTTAAAGTTCAAATTTGTT